GAAATGTGAATAGGCCAGGGCAGAAGGTGAGATACCAAAATTGTTTAGCACACGTTTGGTCAAAGGATGGACTTCATTTGTCTCTTTGACGAGTTGTAGTATGGTGCTAAGAGTGACAAGACTCACTGACGATCCCACTACGATGCCGGCGAAACGTCTGGGAATGTACCACGTCTACGGTCCGACTTTGAAAATAATTATGCATACAATGGACTCAGGACAAGGTGTGTTCCTATAAGGTGTGTTCCTACCAATATGACCAAGTTGCGAAAACAAGGTCAAACAACTTCTAGGCTGATTAAGTTGTTATTCAAGACGTACTGATAATCACAAAAGCTACGCATATCGAAAGTGAGTAGCCTTGTCAATTGCAATGGCAGACACATGTTCGCTTCAGCGACAATCAGCTCAATTGCAAGTCACTAAGTCAGCTTAACCGACCTGGGTTGACTAAGTTCTTATCGGTCGAACATGAAAGCTTCTGGTCGAGTCCGTTTGCATGGAAAGTGCTGGAATGTCGTGAATAAACTACCTCTCCTCGAGCTGTCTCGTGTTGTCGTCCGTGCGCTTCTTCAACTGCTTCAGCTCCGCCACCAACTTGTCACACTGTTCGTGTAACCCTTTTTTCGCAGCAATCACTTCATCGATCAGTTTGTAGTTGCGCTCAATTGTCGCTTCATAGTCGGCCTTCTGGGCCAGGCTTCGTTTGTCAGCCTCGGCCTGCGTGTCACGCAGTTGACGAAGGCCCAATTCGCGCTGCTGCTGAAGGGCACGCTCAAGGCGATCGATAATGTTCGCCTGCTCAGACAACTGCCGTTGAAGATCAAGCATTTGACTCGTCCTCTCACCTTTTGCTAACTGGAGGAAGGAGAGCAAAACAAAGGAATGATGGTGAGGAAGGCGATTAGATAAAAAATATCGATCGATGATTTAAATATTTGCAGTGTTTAAATCCCTCCTACTCGGGGCTCAGGCTGGCAATGTCGGTTCAGACCGTACTTCACTTGAACATTTTCCACTTTAGGCGACTTACAATCTTGACTCTAATTGAATTTTGTCTGAATAAGAATGAGTATATGCACCCAATTTAGTTTATGTTGACGAAAGACTGGTGGTTGAATTTTCCCACAATCACATGAGTAGAGCTGACGTTTCCATTGAATTTCACATAGCCTCGATGTCACAAAAGGTGTTCTCATCCCGGCTGGAGTGGACTGCAATTTCGACCCCGCCTAGGTTTTATCAACACTCCGGGCGGGAGTGGCACCATGACAATGCAGCGTGTAATCTCGACACGTTAATCACTACGTCACCTTGTCACGAGTGCCCTTGTGTCACAGGACAGATGCAATTTTCAGGGGCAGCCATGAATTTTCCCATATCGCATCCTGTGGTGGGATTGTCTACAAAATGAACGTATAATTGCTATAGCAATCGACGTTATTACTTATATTTCGTTTTTAATAGGTTTGCGAGACTACCAGTTTATCAAATTTATGAGTTATGTTCAGACTATTTCACAATGGATGATAATGACTTGTGGTAAGGAAGGCCATGTGAAATTCAATGGTAACGTTAAGTTTACGTACATCATG